TGTTACAGTTGAAAAATTCACTCTCCAGAACTCTCTCTACATTCCGGGACTTCAAAACAACCTTATCGCTGCAGGAGCTCTCAAGCAGAAAGGAGCCGTTGAAGTTGCAAACCCTAATGATCCAAATAAATTCATCATCGCCTTTGACGACCAGACTTTTCTTTGGGGACGATATGTGAATAACCTCATGGTGGTCCAGATCGAACCGGTCAGCAACATTCTCAACTCACACAACACAGAGAATACAACTGACCAACGCAATTCTATCTTAGGCCCCGTTTGGCCGCAAATCACGATTTGTGATTTGGCTAAGGTTTGGCGCGGATTCGGACCGTGCAATATAAAACAATATAAAGTTTTTGCACAAACTCCTGCCAAACCTCAGCTCAAAATTACAAATTACAGACGGCCAAACGGGGCCTTAGATCACAACCGATTAGGACATATCAACCCGATATACCTAAAGAAAACTCTTGGCGATGAAGGCAACAAAAACAATAACACATGCGACACATGCCGATTAAGCAAGTCAACAAAGCTTCCCTTTTCCGGAACTAAACCATACACTCGTAATCCCTTAGATAATATCCACATAGACCTTAGTGGAATTATTAGAACATCTTGTATATTCAATTACTCGTACTTTATGCTAGTTGTCGATGAATACACGCGAATGACATTCATTTATTTCTTGAAAACAAAAACCAAGGAGGAAGTGTTTGAAGCAATAAATTCTTTTATATTGCGCGCCGAAAGACACTGCGACAAGAAAGTTAAGATGATTACGACCGATGGAGGCGGTGAATTCATCAATTCATTACTCACTCCCTTCTGTGAATCCCTTGGCATAGTCAAAAATACAACGGCCCCGTATACTCCACAACAAAATGGTCTGGTGGAACGCTTTATGCGGACAATATCAACAAAATCTAGAGCACTACTTATTCAAAGTGGAGTACCAACCAGATATTGGAGCCTTGCTTGCGACGCAGCAGTATTCATTCAAAATAGGGTGTACAATCAATCGCGGAACGGTTTCCCTGAATCCGTCTATGAACTTTGGTACGGCCACAAGCCAAACCTCAAATACATCCGCACCTTCGGATGCTTGGCGTACATTCAGAACCAATCAGAAGAACGGGACAATAAATTCAGCCCAACATCCCGAAAAGGTTTTCTGGCAGGTTTTGACGAATTCAACCGGAATTATCTGATTTTTGATTACGACAGCCATTGTTTTGTCAACACTCACGATGTCACTTTCGACGAAGTCACCTTCCCCGAAAAGGGAGATGATGCCGATGAGAATTTTATTATTGAATCGGAGGAGAAAGCAAATCAGGAAGATGATCCAGAAACGCAATTTGTTATTGACAGCAAATCTTCCACATCCACGGAATCCGATGATGAAGGACCAAATCCGACATCGAAGGAAGTAGACAAACCCACAATCCAGAAATTCATTCCTCCCAAGCCGCCTATCGATCATCCCGACCACCCTAACTATGTCAGGCGATCGACAAGAATTGGAAATCGACCTAAACGTGCATATCTCACTGGAATCAAGCAAAGCGAAACAATGCCCAAAAATACAGACCCAAAATTCGAACCAAAACGCTTCAAAGAAATCCAAAAGTCCAAATTCAAAGCACGTTGGATAGAGGCTTGCATGAAGGAGATTAAAGGAATGAAAGAAAAAGGAGTATACAGTCTGACTAATCGACCTAAAAACCGGAAAGTAATTAAAGGTAGATGGGTCTTTAAAGTCAAAACCCTCCCCGATGGCAGCATATCAAAATACAAAGCGCAATTTTTTGTCAAGGGATATACTCAAGAGGAAGGTGTAGATTACGATCAAACATTCTCACCAACAGGCAAGCCATCATTGCTTCGCCTAGTCATCGCACTTGCGGCAAGAAACAACTGGATTATCGAACAGATGGACGCTGTCGCTGCATTTCTCAACAGCGACCTAGACAAAGAAATTTACCTCGAACAACCCGAAGGTTTTGAAGAGGAAAACAAAAATACTGTCTGGCGCCTCCACAAATCGATATACGGTCTCAAGCAATCTGCTCGTCTATGGCATCTTGAAGTGGAAAAATACCTAAAGATCATTGGTTTTGCAAAAACCGAAGCGGATTCATGTGTGTTTTTCCGGAACCGAAACGGGAAGATTAGCATAATCTATCTACACGTGGATGATATGATCATAACAGGCGATGAAATTTCAGTGGTGAAGAATGAGATCAAAGACAAATGAGCGATGGAAGATCTAGGCATAGCAAAATTTGCTGTAGGCATCGAAATTGAACGTGATATCTTCGGAAATTATTTTCTACATCAACAAGGAATGATCAACAATGTGCTTCACAAATTCGAGATGATGAACTGTAAACCCGCAAGTACCCCTTTTGGCTACAACATCAAACTACTAAAATCCACCGATGAAGAATGTCAGCTTGCTACTATGGCAGAGACAACCTGTCATAGCAAATAAATATAATAAATTACATAAAAAATCTAAGTATAAATTAAAAATATTACATAAGTAAAAGAAACAATATTACTTATGTAAATAAGATAAAAAATACATAAAAATAAATGAATAACTTAAAAAGTATAAACAAAACCTTGAATATTATTGCAGATTCTGAATCAGCATACAATTTTACCTAGGGTACCTCAGCCAAAGGTACCCCAAATTCTAACTCCTTCACCCTGTAATACAAGCATGAATAATTAACAGGTACCCCCAGATCACGGGTACTGTGACACTTCTGCATAATGCATAATGCATATACTCCAAATCCAGTCTCAGAATTGGAGTATTGTGCACGGTTTAGAAGATAGAGCAGTGTGGAGTCCTGTCTCCAAGCCCATGTGCCACGTAGTCATGCTGCGCACCAGTATCCATGGATTGGGCCACAAAAGCCCCAGAATCCCCATTGCACGTGGCAACAAAGCCCCCACACGTGTAATAAGAATGTGAACAAGCTAGAATATCCACGAAAATACTACAGTAACCATATTCCAGTGGGTAACACGTGTAGCAAGCCTCAGAAGACACCTCTGGAATATTCTGTGGCCCATTTCCAAGGAACCTGCTCCACGTAACAGAGTAGCCCCTATCCACAGGTTCCCATGGGACATTCTTGGCAGTAATAATTTCGTGAATGACCCCTTGGAGCTTCTGGAACATTATCCCCAAGGTTCCAGCCCTGGTTACATCACCATGTGGGCCAAAAAGGGCCCAAAAGCGCCCCCAAGTCCTACTAAGCTCCCCTGAGCAACCCCTGAGGCATCCACAGGTATTTAAAGGGCCTTCTGACCGCCCAAATAATGATCCCCCAGCTTTACAATACCTTATAGAAACTTACTTACCATTTACAAGTCCCCTACACTTGTAATTAGCCTAGTTACTACTATAATTGCTGTTATTAAAGCCTCAAGAACCCTCAAGAAACTCCCCAGTTATCACCCAGCACCCAAAATCAACCTTTCTGAGTGCTCCCAACTGTCCAGTTTCTACTAAGAAAATCCTCAAGACCCCTTTGGATTATTACTAGTGAGTAATAACCCTTTCTTGAAGATTTTCCCCTAAAAATTATCTCCTGGGATTTAAACCACACCTGCTACAGGCCCCAGTGTATCAGGTACCTATATCCTCTGCTTTTTGCACGATACCTTAGAGGGATTAAACCACCCCTGATTTATCAGGCCCCTCTGGCTTAATTTATATTAATTTTATTAATATAAATTGGCCACTTTTTGGATTTAATCCATAAATTCCACGTAATTCTTTTGAATTACCTGTACCAGTTCTATCCCAGAGTTTTTGCCATAAAAACTCTTACTTTTTGCACCTTGTGTAGCTAGAGGACACGTGTCTTGGCATCACATAGGCTGACAATTGGGGGTCTGGCCGGGAAAATTTTATTAAAATCACCTTTTTTCATAAAATAAGCCACCTGGATTTTATTCTTTATTTTTCTCACAAAAAATTAATCAAACCCATAAAAAATTATCATTTTTTTTACGGTCCACTTTTTCCTTTTTACTACAGAAAAAAAAAATACACAACTCCTATTTTACAAAAAAAAAAGGGGGTTGGAAAAACGACTCCCAAAAATTAGTCGATGACTCCCGTTTTGGTCGAGGGGTCGTCGGCTGGGAGTCGTTCTTCCAAAAGATGGCCGACTTTGGGAGTCGGCCATCAAATGTTTTTTTTTATTTTTTTAATTTATTTTTGGGGAGTCGGCGCCCCAAACCGCCCCTCATGCTTAAG